ACAATGAGTACTGTGTTATAAATTGGGATAACTCTTTGTACTCTTATCTTATTAAATAAATGTAACCACTTAATAATTTCTTCTGCCTGGTCTTTGCAGCAAAAGTTTGTGCGGTGTTCGGTGCGAGCGGAGGTCAGACACTTACGAAAAGTTCTTGGTCATCGACTAAATGTAGAAAAACACCAGGTGAGTTACTGTCTTCATTCTATTATAGGTGTTATTGGTAAAAGAAAACCCCCTGAAAAACGTGCATTGTTACTGTCACATCTTCACAGATCACTTATATAGCATATGTATGTACAAAAAGTTTGCTCTATAAAAAGACAAACTCTGAGCTTGGGTCAGATCTTTCAGAGATAAGACAAGGCAGTCTGTGATAAGAGGGCAAGTTTGAGGAATTTTGTGGAAGTAAAGTTTTATAAACGAAACCCCTGACTTGGCCTGGTAGCTTGACTTTGGCACCTGCCTGTGTCCATGGAGTTTAATGCCATACTATTTAACATTTCAGACATGGCAATAACATCTATAGAGGCAAACAGGGCAGACCCTACAAAAGAAAGCATATATTTTTCTCCAAATAATGTACCAGCAACTATTTATTTAAATTATTTTTTATAAATTAATATTAGTAGTTGGTCAAAAAGTTAAAAAAGCATGTTTGAATTTATAGATTACTGGAGTAGCTACTAGTAGTTTAACTGTATGAAGAGCTTCTACTGATGTCTGCTTGTGTGGTCTTCTCTGATCCAGGTCCAGATGTTGTTCAATAACGAGTCTCTGCCCGATCATATGACCATGAAGCGGCTATGGCTCTCACACTGGTTTGGCAAGGTACCAGCAAACTCCATACATTCTTTTAGGGACACACAATGTATTGTTATTGTAATTTCAGAATTTCTAGACATGAACTACAACACAAAAGTAACTGGAAATATTAGTTCAAGTAGTAGATGATACAGAAGATTTATGGAACAGCAGCAAAAAGAGAAAAAATAGTGCAGGAGTTGGCTGAATATTTGGTATTTTTTGGTATTTGTATGTAAAAAAGCAGATTAAACCCATGATTTACATGTAGTCAGTTTGTATATAAGTAAATCATATTTTCCTCATGTTGTGCTGCCCTAAATTCTGCATTCATTACAATTTGGCCACATGTAATGAAGAATAACTGCGTTCTAATTGTGCTGTTGTGTGTTGCAGGCCCAGCCGTTAGTTCTTCACTACACCATCAAGGACAAGCGAAACAGATAGGGCCGGCTTTAGTGTGTGCAGTGTACATATTTTGTACAATTAATATTCTATTTTAATAGTGTTTGTGTACATAGACTTATTTTCCTCGTTTTGTATTTTTGAAAATAAATCTGAAAATGTGAAATTAATTTTTGTCTGGATGTCTACTAATATCAGATAATGCATTTGATGGATATAGGGCATTTTTGTACAATCAATTATATACTTTTCTTACTTTTCCTATGATTGTTCTGTAATATGACCCTGCTTTGTCCACTCAGTACAAACAAAAATGGAGAAAGGATTTGTAGCAGTCATCATCAAATGCTGAGTAAAAAATGTACTTGACTGCATACTAACTTCCACTATGGGACCTGAGGGTCAGATTTTTTCCCACAATAGTAAAACATGGTTTATAAAGAATTTGCTAGGCCTTGCATTTTTTAGGGTATCATAACAGTAGTGCAAATTTATGAACACACCCGTGGCCTATATCTGTTAAAGAAGCAGCTTAAGTTTTTTGTTGTCACTACTACTAGAAATACATCAGGTTTATATAGTATATTATACAGCTTTTTTGGACACTCACTTTGGCTTTGCAACAACAGAACACAATGTTGGAAGTCAATCACTACTGCCAACATGTAGGCCTAGATCCAGTTTTGTTCTTCTGGACAAAAAATTAATAGGCCCACAGTAGATACGCTTATTGTCCATATAGCGCGTCTCATGTTCAATGTTGCTTTGATTAATTCTCCTATACGTGGTTGTTGTAAAAGAAACTAAAATAAAAATGTACACTAGGCTCCAAACTAAACTAAGTGTTCCTTTTCAACCAACCAATCTGACCTACTCTGTAATGAAAATCATTATAATTGGCCACAAGAGGGCGCAGTTGTTCTTTCGTAGAGCACAAAACTGATGGTTAGCCCGCGCTCGTCCAGCATCCAGTGTAAGCCTGATACTGGTTTATGTCACGTGAGGCCTTGACCGCGTTACACACAAAAAAAAAAACTATTATTTATACGATTAAGTCTGATTTTTATATTTTGTTACGCAAATTGTGAGACTAGTACCAACAAAATTATACAAAATATGTTGGCCTATTGTTCTTCCACATACGTGCGTGTTGTGTTGCTTGACACATAATTTTTGCAGGCCTACATGCTTATTAATTAAAAACAAACAAATAAATAAATGATAATAATAATAATAATAATTACAATCCAATTTTAGTACTGCATTGTAAACATTTTGGTTAGAATTTTTGTTAGATTTATTTTTTTTTTTTACATTTTAAACAACTGGATTATAACCTGGAATCTGATGTGTGTGTGTGCTTTATGACAAATCAAGTTCCTTTTATCTCTTCAGATCCTCTCTTTATCCCTGTAATATTCCATGTGTGCGACTGTGCTGGTAGAGCCTTTCCCCTGGCAGGATCTCTGGGGATAAAGTGACAGAGCTCCCCTGAAGCGGTGACCTCTGGGCCAGCCCCACTCACTCTCTCATCTGCTTTGTTTACTACTGTGACCTACAGTGTAAAACTGGGATGCATGTGTATGTTTGTGTGCATGTGTTGTAACGTGTAATATCTCCAGTCACAATATTTTTTGTTAACTTTTGCCATTTTGAATTACTAGCATATGTGCCTAAATCCAAAGTTTTGCTGCAACGCTATGCAAAACCCTCAGGGCCTTTTATGGTTCATGTTAACTGCAATACACACTTAACATCCTCCAGTGCAATTAATACTGCAACAGTGGAAAAAAATGCATCTTCCTCATGTACATCAGAAGTTTCCACTTTTATTTTTTCAATGAAGAAAAAAAAGCTGTTTGATTGCAATCTTGCTTTTTACTTTTTGCCTTGATTGTTAATTTCACAGTTGATCAAAAAAGCTTTAAAATTGTAACTTGCAGTGTGTAAATGACTTACTTTACTTTTAACTGCTGGCTTTATTTCCCCCAGAAACTGCTAAATTTGGGGGTCAAAATCACAGTGTTTAAATGCTCATTTCTTACGTCTGCCCATCCAATGCCAGTTTAAATACTGTAAACAGATGGAAACAGGCCATATTTCTTCCTGTGTAACTTGTGTGTCCTGGTTCAAGCTGCTGCTCCAAAGTGGCACAATAAAAAGCCTACTTGACTTTTCAACCCTCTCCTTCCACCCCATTACATCTGTTGTGTCCCAGTCTGCCGCTCCTCTGCCCCCAGAACAGCCCCCGCTCCACACTTTGGTCCAGGCTTTTATGGCCATTTCAACAAAGTTTTCCATACACTGTTTTCTGAGAGGAACGAAAATGTAAAAGATTCTGGTAATGTATAAATGTCTCACTTTGCTGCTGCAGTTGTATAATTTATAATGTTAACAAATAATAGGCCTACATTTCTATTGTTGCCACAGATTATACAAAGATAATCTTGTAAAATTACATGAACAAGAAATAGTAGTACTAAAAAGTATAAGAAAACCTTAAACCTAAGGTAAAACCTAAAAAAAAAAAAAAAAAGTTCCTGAATTGTGGTGGACGCCACAATAATAGCCAACATTTTGAGAGCTTATTAAGAATTTTTGCAAAAGTATTTTCTGCATCTGTCTGAAAGTGTTGGGATGACGGCAATGACAACATTTACACTTGTCATATTGTTTCTGCTGTCAGCTGCATGTCGTTGACAAAAAGAATTTCCCTTTGGGAATGAATGAGTCTTTCTTTTTTTTTTTTTTTTTTTTTTTTTTTTACCTATTTTGCTACTTTAATTATTAAGAAACGTATTTATTATTTTCTATTTATTTATCTTTTGCCCTTTGTTATTATAGCCTGCTTTCTCTTAATTTCCCTTGTGGATCAATTAAGTTTGTGTGGAGCTAATTTAAGCTTGAAATAGCCTATTAAATAAAACAACAAACACAATGTGTTAAAATGTTGTGCTTTTCAAACGTCATCATGACAGCATTATTTCTTGACACCATGTTAGCAGTATAGGCCTGTGTTTACAATAGTCCCGGGTGAGTGGACGCTTACACATTAGCCCAAACACACACGCGCTAAACCCAACAAAACGTCCCCAAATGGTGCTTCCCATTGAGCGTTATTCATAACACCTCGCGGTGGCCCATTTGCTATTCATGGGGACACTTTCTTTGCAAACGCGGCGCGCACGGAGCGGCAGATGCGCGCCATTATTGCCCCGCACTCGCTCCAAGCTGTTTTTACGTGAGGCGAAGGGCGGGCCCGGCTAATCAATCACGTCCACTAGTTGTGTTAAGGACACAAGGAGGAAAACATATGGCACTGGGCCGGCCGCAAGCTTTTCTCAAGCCGGCCGAGACAAGACGCATTGAAAGCGCACTAGAAGAATGAAGAGAAAGCTGCTAATTGAAGTCACGCCACTCCGCGGCTCAAAGCAGGGGTCACGCATTGAAATGAGCCCAAGTTTCACCTCCCACTACACAGGATCACTGGCCTGTCCACTGCCATATGAATACAACAGCCTGGTTAAGTTAAAGCGAGCCATTCTCACATTACACCGCAGATTCTTGTGCGCCTTTTTGCACAATTGTTCTGTCTAATCTCCTTTGTCTCCATCAAAGCTCTTTAGGTCAAGTCGCACGTTTAGCATCACCACAATAAATAATCTATTATTTTAATCACCAATGTCCATTGAATGTGCAGTTTTAGTTTAGGAAAAGTATTGCGTAAAATTAAGCAGTTTGACCAAAGCGTATTGAAATATGATAGAAGCTTTATTTACATAGATGCTGATTAAATAGAATGTTACAATAAAATTATTATAGGGGGCTATGTACAAAACCTAGACACGTGTGCAGTTGTACTAAAAGGGTCTCTGCGCGTGCCACTTTGCGCTAAAAAGTGGCGCGTAACCGTACTTGAATTCATCCATACGAAGAAACGTGTATAAACCCTTAGAGGCCGAATGTCATTGTGTCTCTTCAGTTCAAAATGGGCAGGTAACTCCACAGATGAGACCTACGAGTCCAAAGAATAAATTAGAATAACTGAAAAGGGATATCCAAGAGTCTCTACGTATTCTCCTCTGTGACAATATCCGTGCAAAAGTTTGGGAAGAAAATGCCCCCGTTTGACCTTCTCAATAGACACCACGTGGCCAAAGTTTTTCAGTCGTCCACCTCTATCTCCTCGTCGTCCTCCGAGAACTCGTCCGTGGTGTGATCTCTGGAGGAGGAGGGGGACTGCGGGAAGGCGCCGTGTCCCTGGGGAGACGTGGGTGACACGCTCGGAGACGCTGCGCCCTGAGCCTGCTCATCCAGACTCTCCATGGTGACCAGCTTCTGGAGAGTCTGTGGGGTGAGCTTCTTGAGTGACTCCACGTCGGCTTTCATCTCCTCCAGGTCTCGTTTGAGCTTGGCGCGGCGGTTCTGGAACCATGTGATGACCTGTGCGTTGGAGAGGCCCAGCTGCTGCGCTATCTGGTCTCGGTCGGCTGGAGACAGGTACTTCTGGTACAGGAAGCGCTTCTCCAGCTCGTAGATCTGGTGGTTAGTGAAAGCCGTCCGGGACTTTCTCCTCTTCTTTGAGCTCTGTCTTTGGCCGAACGAGTTTACGTGCTCACGTCCTGCAGGAGAGACACAGTCAGTAACACACTCCTGCCTGCACAGTCCAAATACATTAATAATACCTGCTGTTCTATTTACATCTGGCCCTTTGATAACCATCATCTTAGGCAAATATGAAAAATATGAGAAATGCTATCATCTGTAAAGGCAGTATCACATTTTATTTAAGAATGGAAAAAAAAATACACCCATTGTTATTTAAAATTACATAGTGTTTTAATTCAAATTCAAATCAAAGTTTGCAACAATAATAAAAATGTTTAGTCTATAACACAAGAACTGTGGTATTGCTTTTCAATTTTAAAATCCTATGGCTATTAAAACAATTAAACTGATTGATTTTTATTTTTGTTTATGTATTTATTTTTTGCCCGAACCAAATGCCCTTTGGCGAGCTATTCTTGTCTTGTGCTTTACAAATAATAGATCATATTTATGTGAATGGTCTGATGACTCATGCGATAAACTCCAATTAATCAAACTCCATTTAACAGTGTGACTTTTCTTACATCCTCTTTTTTATCATAAGTAAAATAGCCATTACATTTTGGTGATTAAACCCAATTAAACTCATGCGTAGTTTATAGTGAAATTTAAAGCAGTTGTTTTATTTTCTATAACTTTATTTCGGTTCCATGCTGTTTACTTAAACATCATAGCGCACCAGTAACGGTTTGACAACATTACCACTGACTTATCGTATTTTAATATTACTTTTATAGAGTGTTAAGGGGGTATTTCCTCATAAATAGTATCATTTTGCTTATTACATTTACACGCATATTTATTTTAATTCCGAAATAAAACTGCGCCAATTTGTATATTATCGCGCATTATTTCGTAACCAAACGTGAGACGTGTGTATGCATAAATAAAAATCGCATATCAGTTATAAAAATGTACCTTCTGCTGCCTGGATCACGCTCACTTCCAGGCCTTTGAACGTCTTGCTCGCCAGTTCCTCTAGTGCACAGAGCGGGGACGAGGGCGTGCTGATGCCGTTCCTCGGTGCGTTGGGCGCCGTCACTTTCTCGAGGACGCGCGGCGGACAGATACTGGCCACTGACTTTTTGACTGAGGGCTTGTTGAGAATGTCCTCAATGCTGAAAGGCGTCAGCGGCTTGTTGGAGTTAGCCGGCGGGGGCAGCTGATCCAACGGCGCCCTCGCTCTCCGCTCCTCGCCACTGGATTGCAACACAGACCCTGCCTTCATGTCTTTGCTGGAGGTCATCGCAGTCCCCAAACACTCGCAAAAAAGTTCGCCCCCGACGTACCCACAAGCGTCGTAATTCTCCTGCAGACAAGTTTAAACCCCACTCACTGCAACCATGCTTCGAGCAGAGTTTGGGAACAGGCGGTATTCCTTCAGTGTCCCGCGAAGAGCTCCATGTAGCGGTTTAGGAGGTGTCCCACTGTGGAGGGGAGAGTGCTTCCAATGGGGTAAAAGGCTGTCCCGACCAAGCAGCGCGGAGAAGAGGAGCCACCGCTAACGAGTTCCTGTTGATTGGGCGAAGTTCAATTAGAGAAACACTAGACTAGTTGCTGACCCGCTGCTGCGTCTTAAAGGGCCGGAGTCTAGGAACTAATTGGACGTGAGGGAGAGGAGGAGTCTCACGCTTCTGGATGTTTGTGTGCGTGCGTGCGCGTGTCCCTCTGCTGGCGCGTTCCGCTGCAAACAGAAAGCCCAGTTAAACATGCTACAGCCACTAGCGACGAGGAGACTGACTGAGGAAAAACTTTAATGTCCGTCCTGGTCGTGGTAATGCGTAATTACGCACTGAGCGTCAGAGGCGCAGTATGAGGGAATTTGGCTCCAGAACACATGGCAAATGGAATAAGTACAGTGTTCATGCGTGTACCTTATTGCAGCTGATAGATTTATACTTTTATTATTTTCTTTTGGCTCACGCATGTTAGCATGATATCGCTATTATAAAAGGCATAAAATCAGTCACAATTGTTTGAACTGCACATTAAAAATTCTACAGTGTTTTAAATAAATACAATTTACAGTTGTATTTTTCTTGTTTTATTTTCAGGTTCGTACATTTAATATTAAGTTCGCTTTCACCTACTTATATAATTTTCTTCGACAGTGTCCAAGGTAAAATGATCGTTTTGAACTGCTATTTTAGCAACCAGAAAGATTGTTATTTTTAATATTATAGCTCCAGAGCTATTTCTACCTCATGCGCATCTGTTTTTAAATTGAAAATAATCAAATACTAATTCTCAATGATCAAAACATTGTCTGCGCTTCTTAATGTGCTTTACCCAGTACATTTCCCAGCGTTGTCCCTTTTCATGCTTTGTCCTGCAGGTAACACACTTCTGAGCACCAGTGCAGTTGACTTATAGCCACGGCTCTCGGCAAAAACGCAGCACGCGCAGGAGGGAGCTGGAGTCTAAACCTCAAATTAGGATGGAAACGGAGCACGTGCAGGTACGTCAACCTTTTGATGAAAACAAACGTTATTTTGTGTAGTTATTTTTTTAATTGTTGTGCTACCATTAACAGATTCTATTTCTTCGTGGCGCCGTCAGGGGTTTTCAAAGGTAAATTGGAGAGGAAAGAACACAGTTGTCCATCGGATTAGACAAGTTCTGTTTTATAAGAGGTATATATAAAATGCCCTGTGAAATCCAATATGCGTATTATGTTTGATAAACCAGTCTTGTCGTCTTGTGCGCACTTTGGATACGGGAGCAGTGCGCACCGGTGCCAACAGCAGCATATGGTGACACTGGTTTAGGGACAGAGCTCTAAAACAGCAGGACATTCTATTAGGCGCCCTGGAGGTCCAGCCTCGTGCTCGGGGACTGGAGTAGGCTGGGCCCGTTACGCACACGACGTGAGCACAGCAGACCACGGATTTGTGTGCGTAAAGATGAATCAGATTTGAATTTATTGATAATTCTGGCACATTTTACGAACAAAAATAAAATTAGTGTAGTCCATTTGTAGTCCATATGCTTATTTTTTATATGCATACCTTGTAATTGTAATAAAATCACATAAAAGTAATTCAACTTTAAGCAATATCAAATAACTTGGAATATTTTTGACCACAATACCAACTCACTATTTTCCTATTTTGGCTAAAGGCCATTAGCGCGCTCTGCTCTGATCCTATAACGCAGCTCCTCCAATAGCTTTGAGGTCGTAGGTTTTTTCATTCTTTCTCGTGCCTTAATTTAAACGTTAATTAGAACCAGAGCAGCTGACATCATCCATCAGCGCTCCAGACGGCTTTTAATTGGATGATACGCCTCGCCGTTAGCTCCTATCAGCGGCCTGCTCCCCTTCAAAGGCGAAGGGCCCAGCACCGGTAGAGGTTTATTTTTCTGCAGCATTTATAATCAATTAGAGTCTTTTATGCGCCGTCCCTCCTCCCGAAAATCTCAAAGGCCAAACAGCGATAGTGTGAGGCTCCACAAACAGCGAGAGTGCCCTGCAAAGGTCAGCCATTAATCACTACATTAACGCACCGTAGCCAAAGAGAGAGACTGCTCTTGCGGATACCCACTGTCTAATGTTCGCTGGACACTTACACGGCCAAATAACATATTATACTCGGTTGTGTTATTTTTATTTGGTTTATCCAAGTTAATCCGCTCGTCAAAGGGCAGGGATGGATGTAAGATAGTGTAGGCTACACCTTTATATTAAGCAAAAACAAAGGCCTACATCCAAGACCATTTTAGATTTTATTTTAAATATTTATTCATGAATGTAAGCCTATTTATTGTTTGCAACTTTGCATTCATTTTGGGTGCATTAAAAGAAAATTATATAAAAGTAAAACTAACTAAATAAATAAATACATAATATGCACATGATCTAAAATATATATATAAAAACGTATTACCATATTGTTAAAGGCTAAATTTGGCATTTCTTTTACAGAAATTTTGAATAAGTTTAGCCTTCAAATAGCTTATAGGCCCTGACTATAGTTTCTATAATCATAGGCCTCTGTTTACAATGTTTACAATTTACAATTTTGCTGACCACAACAGGCCTATTAATAAACTACATAAATACATTTTGGAAATATAATTATTCTAATGAGAAATAATAATATAGGCATAAATATAAAAACAGAATGCATTTTATTGCATGTTAGTGGACACAATATCAAACAGACATCTAGCGCGATCTTTATACACAAGTGCTTTTATTATATACATATATTTTTTTGCATAAGGACAATATTGAAATGTTGTGTCTGTGCGCACATAGTGCGCAGCATGTCGCCCCGTAAAATGAGTCCTAACAGCTGTGAAAGCCTCCGGGAGCAGTGAGCTCTGCTCTGGAGCTGAATTCGGGCAACCGCGCTGCGTCTGTGACCTATGGGCGCGTGCGCATGGGGCCTGTATGTTTGATTTCTCCACTGGATCAAGGACATAGATGCTTACAGTGAATACGGGAGACCAAATGAGATACAGTTACGTGCGTAAAAGCATTTTTATCCAAAGCTCGCTCAGTGTTAAGCAGCGTACGATTGGAAGATGAGATGAGCTGAAAGGACAATAATGTAACGTGTTTTCACGTGGAAACAACATGCATTAAAATAATAATCAAAATAAGGTAGAAAAAGCTTAAACAGTGTAGATAAACAAATGTGCCCATTAGAACGTCCCATCCCCATGCTCCTTGTTTTTCAGCTGCATCCACCTGCTCCGTGCGCGTGAAGGGTGCGCGCGACTCTATAACGAGCCACATATCCTATTCCTCTCGCGTCACAGCGGCGGTGAGGCAGGTGTCCTCTGCACAGTGTGAAGTGGCTCCATCAGCTCGTGCACGGCCCGCGCGCAGGTGTTCATCCTCACGGCGGCGTCACGCTCTGTTTACGGCCGCTGCGTTATGACGTGATGACTTCTGATTGGCTTCTGTCGTCTATCCAAAGCATTCCTTTACACTGGCACGCTGATTAGTTATGAGTACTTGGAAATGACCTAATATTAGCAGCAGTTATTACGGTCATTCTATAAGTATAATATTATAATATATTTCTCTCAAACTCTAAGACAAAATCAAATAAAATGATGACCCTAAATGAATACCTTATATTATGGCACCTTTTAAAATGTGTAATAAAGTTTAGTGAATATATATATATAATAGATCATAACAGATCTAATACATTTGCTTTGGATTAACATAAAAATGGTTACACTGAAAAATGTCACACAATATGTAAAAGTAGAGTCAACATTTACTCTTTTTTCATTTTATTATTTCTACAACATAGAACTGAACAGACTATTTTTACCTACATTCTGTTAAATAAAGGCTTTACCGCCCAGACAGACCTAATTCTTCAACGTTTTTCACGAGAAAACGAAACAAAAACGCCATGTCTGCACAAACCAAACATCCATCCAGTTGAAAGAATGAATAAAATATAATATAATTACGCAATGCTAACAATCAAATAAACAAAAATAATTACAAATAATTCATTTCACAGACAGTGGAAATACACGAGATTTAGTTGAACCCAAATTGGTTTCTACTAAAGTGATTTCAGAAGGGCTATAAAAATAATGTAACAAACCAGTGATGCAGTGATGCAGTCCTGCCCCCTCCCTCCACAAAGCTGCAGACACTGGTCCTAAAGCTCCCCCAGGGCCCTGACATGATCCGCAGGTTTAAGCAGGATCACAGCCCCACACTCAATGCTCCTTTGTCCACCCCTGATTAGTCTCATTAATGAGTAATTAGTGCAGTGGCTGGAATCGGATACAGGAATCACTATTGTGAATGGCAACGGGCCAGTGTGGAAAAGCATTAATGAAATTACTTAAGTAAAATAACAGAACAGAAGCAGCACAAATATTAGTGAAAAATATACAACCTTATGTGGCCGGTGGACCTTTTCTGTCAGTACTTATAAACATGCATTTGTGGTAGGCTTGATAGGACACAATCTTTACAGTCATGACACCACGTCACTACCGTTTCCATTTCCTCCCAACTATCCAAATTATTTTTCTTTTCTATTTTTAGTTTTTCAGTCTTCTTTTTAAGATAATGGATTGCATATTTAAGAGTTTACATTGCAATTCTGCACATTTTAGTGGCTCAGATTTAACTTAAATTACGCCACTTGACCATCTCTCTATGCAGTTGCAAGCCAATCAAAAACAGGAACCCTAATTCTGAGTCAAAAATAAATAAATCCACTTGCATCTTATATATAATGGACATGATATAATTTGCCCATT